TATTTCTTCCAGTCTGGGTGGCCCTACAGAACTTATCATTGTGAGCAAGTGTACAACTTACTAGATGCAAAACAGCAAACAAGCAGTTTGGCAATTACCTCAGTGTTGCCTTCCCACCATTCATCAGTGGCATCAATAGTGCCATTACTTCTACGGCCTAAGCCCATGTCATTACGTAGTCTTTGTATGAATTACCAATATCCCTACAGATGCCCAATCCTATTAGCGATCTGGGTTCTATTATGGATCAAATTGGTTGCTGCATAATACCTTCATATGACCTTGCTCATCCCTGTCTTGTTCATGACTTCTTTCACGCAGTTACCCTTATTAATTTGGTCAACCCAAATTTCACACAGTTTCCTGGTATTTGGATCTGACTAATTTCCCCTGTCAACTCTAGCCTAATCCATGCATAGCAAGAATACGTACATACGTTACAAAAACGAAACAATCGAACATATAACATATTTTTCTGAGTTTGAAAATATACCGGGACTGCGTTCGGAAAGATCTCGTCATCTTCAGCTACATTATGATTGTTGACATCGAAGTTGTCTTCCGCAACAGCTGCCGTCGTGGGTCGTCGACGTTCACCGTGGCTCCTAGATCCAACAGGCACGTCGGATGCAGATCCACGCGAGCCGCTCACGCCGACGGTCACAAGAGGCAACGGAGGGCCACGGCCACCACTAGAGGATGATGACAAGGCGCGAGCAGCCGTGGCGCCTCCTCCACCACCACTGCGACGCGCATAAGCTGAAGGTACGGCTGCCTAGTTTTTGCCTAGTTTTAGGCCTCTTGGCTCTCAAATCCCAAAAGTTTTGCAGCCCAAGTTTTACTGTTTTTTGTCCATGGTGTTTAGATCCATTTTGCCAAAAGATAGGATAAAACAGCAAAAGTTTTAGCAAAAGTGGGGAACTAAACATGCCCTAATTTTGATGATAAAGGTCTATTTGAATGCCTCCTTAGCTCTTTATACACGCTCCCACAGTGCAATTCGTCCTTGTTTGGTTACTGCACACGGTGCTCAAAGCAACCCGAGCTTGCATCCCATAATTCGGCCAAATTCCACGTATCTAGCTATGCACCTTTTCTTCTGCACCCGCTCTGCAGTTAAGTCACATTCTGGCCACTTATGCAAGAAACCAGTCACACGCATAACATTGCATAGCTTCCTATCCAGGCGAACCAACACAACAACAAATTGCATTGCTTCTCCAGGTTAAGAGTATGCTGCATAACCTCTAATGCAATGTAATATTAATGCGAGTAACCAATCAGACCTAAAGTGTAGACAGGTAGTGTCATTTAGATAAGTCGAACTCTCCTGTTGGCTAGCCTATTCATCTTGATATTATTTTCAGTTATTAGTAAGACGTATCATGTGTTTTAATATAATTGAAGTATTGAACTACATCTGTTCTTCAAATAGTTATGCACATGCTTTTGATGCTATACAATTTTTTTCATTATAGAAGTTCCTCTCCTATACACGGTCGTTTTTTCTATAGAGAAGTGTTACATTTTTCTTCCTAGAGAGGAACTTGAAGAATATAGCATCAGTTTTCATCTTGTTGCTTTTTAGCTTTACTCTATAGGAAGAAAACAACCCTCGATACGAGAAAAATATATAACACATGCTATACATTTTTTTGGTTATAGAAAAATGTAACACTTCTCTATGAGAGAAATTATCTGTATGGCCCTGTGAAACTCAGTTATTCCTTGTATGTCCCTACAAACTTCGAAATTCTTTGTATGGCCCTGTCTTGGAATTTTAATGACCCATATGACACTACCGTCAGTTTTGGACCCTAACACCGTTAAGTGCCATGCGAATTATCCATAATACCCCTGTTGCAGAAAAATGCGCTAATTCCTTGTATGGCCCTGCTTCATCAGATGTTTACAATATTACCTCTATGACACTGAGTATTTGTATGGCTTGTTTTGACATTAAAATTCATCCACATTACATTATAATTTAGAAATAATTTTGTTATGATAATATGCATTATCTAAGCTTTGTAATTCATCCATATTATCTCTTATCTACCGTGGTTGAAATTTGTAAAAAAAAAGAGATGTATTGACGGTCTCCATTTTTTGTGCAATAAAATTCATCCACATTATATAGATAAACACTAATGAGATCTCAATATAAATTGGTTCAAATAGTTCACTGTATGTAGCAAATACAAATGGTCCATAGCTAAGTACGCTCTTAATGTTCGCATACATATATGTTCAAACATTACATCAAGACTACATGCATACATATCATAAGTTTTTGGCGAGAATCACAAGCTGAGTCTCCTTTTGCTTCTAGTACCCATGGCAGGGCTTGCTGGATCGGTTTTCTTACTTCTGGTGCTCATGGCAGGGCTATCTAATGGGCTGATTGGAGCCACTTCTTGATCTGCACCGGTATATCTCAAAGAATAATAATTTTTGGATGAAACTCATGGGACTAAAACAACAGCAATGCTGGACTGTAGGGAATGGACAACATCTATACATATAGGAACGGGAAGAATTACCTTTTCGATGTTTCAGAATCTGAGTTAGCATGTTTTCTCTTATTAGTACTTGTGGTTTCTAAGGTTAGACTATAGGAAAAAAGCAAGCAACTTAGAATTTTCTATATATTTCATGTATCATAATATATGTTCCGAATTAAAGTATTACCTTCTTGAATGTCCAGAACCAGACCTATTATGGTTTCTCCTCTTCTTAGTTGTAGTTCCCTGACTTTGACTATGAGAAAAAAATAAGAAACTTAGAAATCAAACAAGTTTTCATGTGTCATTATATAAATTTGAAAAGTACAGGTAGTAACCTTTTCGATGCCTAAGAAGTAGCATTAGGTTTCTTTCCCTTTTTCTTATTTGCAGGTTCCAAATTTTGGTTGCGGCAACAAAATAGCAAGGTTCTTTTTAACCTACATAAGACAAAATAAGCTTAAAAAGAGGCAATGAAAAACAATGCGCAAGGTCAAATAAATGAACAAGGTTAGATAATTACCATAACAGTGCACTGTAGATGCATGTAACCTCCATGGACAATTGTCTTTGTCTCTCCTTGAGCAATAGACCCGGTATCTAGATGGTGCACTCTTCTCAATATTGAATTCGAATTCATATTTGATTGCATGCTGAGAAAGGGTCACCTTGAACTCTTTCATATTGAGATACATGGTGCCTACTACCATTGGAGGGTCATTTTTATCATAATCGACATTAGGCGTGTGATCTTTCCCATAACCAGCCAACTCCTCATCAACTTCCATATCCTCACTCCCATCACCATCCTCACCATCACCGTCCTCCCCATCACCATCACCATCCACATGCTTTCCCGTATTGTCTGTAGGAACAATCTGTAGATACATACCTTCTTCATCAACACCTACAAATTCATTCTCTGGTAATGGGTTACAAAGGTAAGAATCATCTTCTTTTTGTTCTGTTTTCATATTAAGTTGCTCTTCTTCCTCAAAATTCCACTCAGTGATAGGTTCATACATCTTAGAGGGGTAACAATATACAACGAACATACGCACAACCTTTGTCTTATGGTGTTTTTCAAACATAAATATTAAATCTTGGTCACATTTCACTTTTGGGAAGGTTTTCAAAGCATCATCATAATACTGGACATGTGCAACTTCTAAATAGCCAGGAGGGTACTGCTGAACAATTGATTCAACTAAATCCATATAATTTGTCAAGTTTGAATTAAGAACCTTCTCAAAGTTAAAACATCTGACATCTTTTCTTGCTTTTTTGGTTACCAAGCAACTTAATTTTGAGATAAAAAGTTGAATTTGGATCCAACCTATACATGAAGCCATGAACGTACATTTAGCATAAGGCGCATAGGTACTGCAAAAATTTGGTACTACTTTTAGCTTTGACGAACTAGAGTACATGCATGTAAAACTCACCCTTCCTGCGATTTTGCTACTTCTTCCTAGGATGTTACCTCCATCGGACCTTCTCCAAGTTGACGGCCGTCGTCCACGGCCTTGGTCTATACGTCGGCCATGGTTGTGTCCCACCCGGCGCCCTACTGCAGGAGGCGGCGCGTCCCTGCCATGGCAGTCAGCAGGAGGCGGCGCGTCCTTGCCCTGGCCCGACCGCAGGAGGGCCGGCCGCCCTGGAGCCGCGCGCCCTTAGCCACGCGAGCCGCGCGCCCTCACCTCTCTCTCCCGCCACGCCCTGAGTCGGGCCGTCCCCTCCCGCGCCTCACCTCACTCTCGTGCTGGGCGCGCCTCTAGCCCCTCTCTCCTGCTTGTCGCGTCCCTGCGAAGCCGATCTAGGGTTTGGGTAGGGGAGACGACGCCATGGACGCATAGCAGGGTCAGAACTCGAAGATGATTCACGGAGTCGAGTTTCTGCCTTCTTTCATCAAGAGGGGTATTTTGGTCACTTGTGGATTGGTCTGACAAGGATGGCCCACATTTTTAGCGGTGATCTCTAATAGAAATGATTGTAGTGTCATGTAGGTCACTCTAAAACGGACGCAAGACCATACAAGGAATTTCAAAGTTTACAGGGCATACAACAAATAACTGAGTTTCACATATATAATTTTCTCCTTCTCTGTGGGGAGAAAACAACCCTCTATACGAGAGGAGCTTGAAGATCAAAAGAACTTCTTTTCTTTATAACATCTGAAAATGTCAAAACTCCAAGGTATTTAATCACTTATATGAAACCAATTTTCAAGTTATGAGATGTTGCCGCGGTGATCTCTTACTTCTTGTAAATATATTGTTTGTTCCTATGAATAAATAAATCTCAGTGAACTGAAAAACGGTTGCCGTTGTTTTTTCCCTAAAAAACTTGGTGGGAGGATCCGCATCCGACCCAAACCGGCTGCATCAAGCTCCACCAGTGGAGACAGGGCCGCCGGCGGCCGCGGACGCGCGACTACACCACCGCGGTTTCCACCTCAGGGCGCCTTCCCGTAACCTACCCAAGCGCGGCCCCGTCATGCGCGCGGAGTCCACCCAGATCAGCGCCTTAACCGCCGGGGCCGCGCACCTGCTCTGCTTTGCGGGCCTCGCTGCCGCCCACGCCCTCGCTGGCCGCGGCGCGCTCGTCTCCGACCCCGCGCTCGCCCTCCGCCTTCTCGTGGTATTTTCACTCACCTCGCCGCCGCGGGTGCCGGTGTAAACGTATCTTCGGTCTCCCCCTTCTCTCTTCCGATCCGAACTGAGTATTTTTCTCCTTCACTTAGGTCTGTGAAGCGCCCATAGTCATCGCAGTGTTCAGCTACCTCCGGCGTGATGCCAAAAGCTGCTCGGTATGGCGCGAGTGCAACCTGTTCGATGAATTGTCGCTTTAAATTTTTGGTTCAGCGATGGAGTCATCGGGTTCTCCTTACTTTCAGTTTTTCAAGGCTGTTGCGAGAGGATTGATCGGCTTGCCCGTGGGTTGGTTCTATACCTTGACTTGGATTGCATTCTTACTTTGATACATTGCTGTATGAATATGAAGCCCAAAACGAACAGCTCCATGCTGCAGATCTGAACCAGCAGTTAGTATTATCAGCCCGTTGGACTAACTGTAAAAATGCTGGTTCGGTTTCATGGAACAAGAACTACAGTCAAACTGTTAGTTATGAGTTATTCAGCACTACTTTTCAGTCTGTTTATTTAACACGTTTCATTTCTTTGATCTTACTGCACATCTTTTCCTCACCCATGCCAGGAGCTTTCCTTAATGCATTTGGGGCAATCGTTCTTGGTGCACCTGTTGGAATCAAGTAAGTTAGATTCAGAAAGGATTTAGCCTGTCTTTTACTGGATGAGTAGGAATCATGACTAGGATTGGTGTCTTTAGTGCTTTGCACTATATTCTGTCTTGCATCTGATTTTAGTAAAGTAAACCATGATATTTCAATTTACAAGTACTAACGGTTCCTTATTTGATTGAATTATGCATTTGCAGATACTGGATAGCTACTCTATATTGGTCACTTGTCATGTCCCTGTTCACAGTAAGTGCCATTTTTCGCTGATTTTCTGGTACAAAACTGAGCAACTGAGCACTTGACGCTTGAGTACTGTTGAGACTGGCAACAACCAGCAATGTCTTGTGCTGATAATCCTGTACTCATAAGTTACCACTTTGCATTTACTGCATAACTTCAGCAACTGAGGCAGGCGAGACTAATTTTATTATCTTTCAGTTTGTTCCCGCGGCATGTGTCTTTGGAGCATCCAAGATTGATTGGCTGAATGTGCTTTCTCACTCCATGTAAGTTCCGGACTCGTAAACTTTTGAATGGTAGAGGTTCATCCAGTGGACTTATTTCTTTCTTTTGTATCATCCAGCAACTGTGCCATGATATTTCATTGTCTTTGTACATGTCAGTTATTTCACGCCAACTAATGTTGAGAACTACATGATATCCGCACCTTGTCATGGAGCTGTGCTAGGGGCATGGCTCAGTGCTTGGCCTATGCCCCTTGACTGGGAGAGACCCTGGCAGGTACCATCTTTGAATCTTATGAAGTATGTTGCCAAATTCTAGGCATGGGAAAGCTGGATCATATGGATATGTTTGTGCACACTTGGTGGTTAACATGACACTAAATAGCTCTATGGAACATACTTATGTTTATGGTCTAACTGGGGTAAACATATGGGGATCACAGACATGGCCAGACATTAAAATAGGAGAAGTACCTGCCACAATTCGTTTATTCCCATGGGAGTTGGGTGATTTATGATCCTCATTTCCTGACTAAATTTTTTGAGAGCTACAGGGCCACCACATGAAATTCATTGGTTTGCCTGATGTTCTGTTGAGTGTTTTTGCTTTTGAAACTCAATATCCTGATGCCCCTTTTATCCCATCTCATATACTTAATGATAGATCTTACCTTCAAGTGTCACATTAATGATGATTCCTTTGCTGGACCTTATGACTGATTACTATTATTCTGTTTCTTTGATCTTTCGTAGGAATGGCCAATCTGTGTCACTTACGGTGCAGTTGCTGGGTATATGGTTGGAATGGTGGTGTCATTGATCCTAATAGCTGTTCACAAGAGAAGGGTTCGTGCAAAAGCTGACTAGTCTGTGGATGATGAGTGCACCAGTGCTTTTCTCTCTCCATTTTTCCTGGTTAGATATGACTGTTGACTAATCCAAGAGTCCTGTAGTGTTCGACTGTTCTTCCCACAAAGCAATGCATTTTCTGATGTCCTTTCTTGTTAGTGTGAGTACTGATTGTTTTCAATAGCTTCATCCAGGTTCACATTGTTCTATTCTTTTGAAGCCTTTTTTGCAGCTGTCCATTGTTTTGTTGAATGTAATGAGAAGGATTGCAGTACAGTTTTTCCATAGAGAGGAGGGAGGTTTATTATTACTGTAAAATGCTCGTTTGCACGTTTGTTCAGAGAGGGTCTGTTGCACAAAGTTACCCACTTTATTGCGTATTCTATCTTATGATGAATAAACGAAACTTCCCTAACGTGCCATTGTATTCTGCATCTATGTTTTTCCCTATACAAAAGTAAATACAAAACATGCTGCACAAAATTCGTTCAAAATCACCGCATGCTAAACGAAAAATCGGCATCAGCGATGTCAATGTCGATGGCGGTGGACGAGGCGGCCCTCTTCCTCTCGGTGGGCGAGGCGGCCCTGTGCAGCCGCTGCTGGTCGGCCACCGGGTACATGTCCCCGAGCTCCCGCCCCTGACCCCTTCCCGGAGACGACGGGGCGCTCTGCGGCTCCTCCGACCGGCCCTTGTACTTTTGGAGCAGGTGCACCGGCGAGTTGCCCCGGCTCGGCGACGTCGCGCGGCTGTGGCTCGGCGTCGTGTCGGCGCTCATCAGCCCGTCGAGGTAGCCTCCCGCCTCCCGCTGCCTCACCTTGTCCTTGGCCGTCTTGCGCCACTTCATCACTGCCTTGGCCGTCTGCTCCTCGAAGATGGTCTTCTTCATGTGAGACCCCATCTGCAAACGCGAGGTTGGGTTTGGACGACGTTACCCCATTGTCCATGCATGGAGGTTTATTTTTCTTTCAACGAGTTCATGCAAGTTTTTCTTATTCTTCTTCATATATATGGTTCTCTTTATTTAGTACGTACCTGTGTGACGAGCGCGTAGAGCGGGAAGGTGATGTAGCTGCAGAGGAACTGAAGAGCCACTCCCACTACAACTTTCATGATGGTCAGGCCCATCCGCTCATGGTAGCATTTCTTCAATTCTGGGGTGAGCTGTGCGTGCAACAGCCAAAAGCAGTTGTTAGACAGTTAGCCTCTGCTCATTCTGCTGCAGTGACAGGATGAACAAAACACTCGAGGATCTTTAAACAAAGGAAAGGCAAGTCAACCCTACCACTGTCCAAACGAAATGCGCCATCTGGAAGGCGTTCTGGAAGAGCGTGAGGTGGATGAGGAAGAGGACCCAGCCAGGGCGGTTGAACCAGAAGAACCTGTCACTTGGCTCCACCGCAGGCGCCCCCTTGATCACCGTCGCCTTGTCCCGTATCTCGTTGGCCATCTCCATGATGACAACCTCCAGCTTGGTCCCAACCAACAAGAGTATCTGAAACAGCGACGTCTTCGCTTATATACTGTACGTAGTATATTCCAAGGCAGTTTCAATTGGCTCTTTGTTTATTTTTTTGGAATGACCAAGTGGCTCTTTGTTGCTCCAACTGAAAGGGAGGGAATTTGCTCTCAAAAAACAACAGAGAGGGAGTCAACACTTACAACGAGCGGGACAAAAGAGATCCAGATAAGCGTGCCGATTCCTGCGCATATGACAAGAGGTGGTTATTACAAGACCAAATCAAAGCCTGTGGTTTGAACATAACAACTATGATTAGGATGACAAGTACCGTCGATATCGAGGAAGAGTGTGAAGATGGCGACGAACCACAGCGGGAGACTGCACATAGAGGAAGCCAGCCAAATGTCAAGGTCACCCAAGGACGAACATCATAGCATGCAGAAGCAGAACCCTACACGAATTAGGTAGTATTCCCTCGTTCTAAATTGTAAGTTCATTGCTTTGGCTTTTCTAAAAGTATAGTTATGTATCTAGACATACAAACTACTCTATGTAACTAAAAAAAGCCAAAACGACTTGTAATTTGGAGCAGGGAGAATACCAAAGAGGCATACATACCTGATGCCAACGACGACTTTGAAGTCATCCTCCAAGGACCGCTTGATGTACTGCTGGAAATTGAACTTAGCGTTGGGAGACATGTGATACTGCAGACAAGGAAACATCGTTATGTCGTGAATAACTCATCTTCTAGCATCAAAAGCTCAAATCACCACATAGCAGCAGTTGCATTGCAATGAGGAGGTGCTCGATCAGTAAGTACATTGATGAATCCTTGCCGCATGGTCAGGTAATCCACCTTGGTCACCGACGCGAAGAACTGCCTGAAGAATCCCACCTGCAGCGAAGAATATTCAGGTTAACAAAACCTGCTGCAACTGCAATGCAAGAACTGACGATCCAGAGCTCAGGTGCGTGATTGAACTCACAATCCATCTGACTCCGGGAGTGCTCGAGAGGCCCAGGTGCCGCTTCACGAACGACGTCTGGTGCGTCAATCGGAATCGCGAAGGATCTGCAATGAAAGAACCTCATCAGCTTCACTCTGCTCACACTGACACGCATGCTTCAATCATCCGAGGAAGAGAAACACACGATGGTTCTTCTTACCGGTTGCGAATTGATATTCCAGCGAGTTGGTCTCCTCTTCCCATTTCTTCCATTTTTTCATCTGAAAGATGTGATTGATATTCCAGCGAGTTGGTCTCCTCTTAGTCCATTTCTTCCATTTTTCATCTCAATAACACGCGACAAGATGTGATTGATTAACTATTTTATACTAATTATAAACTAATTATACGGTAAATGCCTTTGTGATTTTTTCTACTGCAATGGAGTCATCAGATGATTGATTAATTAGGCTTAATAAATTCATCTCAATAACTGCGGTAAATGCCTATTTTTTACTGCAATGGAGTCATCAGATGATTGATAAACATGCTTCCTTTTTAAATGCTAAAAAAAAACATGCTTCCTTTTTTTTTGAACGAAATGTCCGTCATAAATACTTGACACCGTTGATTTTTTATGGTGTAGCACTAAGTTTGACTACTTTTTATTTTTTATCCGAAATATAGTTATAATATCTAATCTAATAAGAGTAAGATTATGGAACTACTTCTAGAGAGAAAAAGAAAAATCAGATTTTGATTAAAGCCTTCAAGGGCAAATACGTGTGACCAGATCGATCGGAGGGAGCAGGTGAATGTTGTTGTTGTTTTTTCTCCTAAAGACATATGCCACATATATACGCACCGTTAGATGCACATAGGAATACAGGTGCAATAGTCTCCTGCTGCATACGCATTCCACGTGCATCTAAACGGCGATGCACGTGGGGCACATGCCCTTAGGGGCAAATTTTAAGGGTTCGATGAAGTAGCGATTAATAACATGGTTCGGATGCTTGGCCTGCGCTTACTTTCAGACGCCCTAACGCCATGGTGGCGACGCTGTAAGAGATATGGAACACCGCAAGCACAAAGATGAAGATGTGCAGCTGGTGGACGCCAGTCGTGGAGATGAGGGACACCTTGCCCTGCACGCGGAAATAAACCAGAAGCGTTACTCATCTCATCTCATGGCTCCATCACCAAGCAGCTTAATTAGCTTGGTATGCGTTGCAATTTCAATGGTGACTGGGCCCTCACTTGTTCGGTACAGTAATCGTCGCCCGTAGCCGCGCCGGCCAAGAACCGACGATGGTCGGATTCATATCCATGGTACCAGAGGAGCCTCCGGCGGCTATCGCCGCCGCTACTGCCGCCGTCGTCTTTCTGCGCCTTGCACGGCAGCATGATGCTGCCGGCCTTGGTGGGGATACATATCTTGGAGATGGGCGTCTGCCCCACGGCGAGGAGCAGCGAGATGAAGCCCATCAGCATCAACTCTGCACGCAACGCAACCAAACCATTTTCTTTTTTAGGAAAAAAAAAGAATCGGCAAAAGGACAAGAGGTGCCGGCAGCCCGGCACAAGAACTAAGCTAACCTAAGGTTGTGTGTTCTGATTTTTTTGTATCTAAATTTTATTGCCATATAAGGCTAATACTAGTAGCATTATTGAACTAGCTACTCATATAAAAGGTCTTTTGTCCTGTTCGTTTGGCTGATAAACCACGGCTGAAAATATTATTTATTGATTTGGTGTGAGAGAAAAATATTATTCGTTAGCTGAAGAAATACGGTTTATATAAGCCAAGCGAACGGGGCGTTTGTTTATGCATGCGCAGGCAGGTACCATCTGAATTCTGGAAGTCAGATATAGAAAACTGGTAAGGAGCGGAGCGGATTCTGGTGACGACCGACCTTGAAGGCAATCAATCATGTTCCGCAACATGGCAATACTAGAGTGGTGTGGACTTTGGCTGTGGGTGATGATGGGAGCAGCTCACCTGCTTTGATCTTCTCCAGCGCCTCCCGCATGGCCTTCTTCTGCCTCGTATGGAACCACTGCACGCACGCAAGGCGACAGGCAGCAGTCAGGCACATGTACAAATCAAAGCTCGGCTTCTGCTCAACGTTAAGCAGGCACGCATGCGAAATGAACATGGGGTCGGCCAGCAGGCCCTGCGGGAACGAGTGACGTACGTGGCCGAGCTTGTGGAGGCCGTGCTCCATGGCGACGGAGACGAGCACGATCACGCAGCACACGACCGCCACCGCCCACGTCGGCGTCGACGTCACGTCCCGGCCGCCCCCGCCCCCCGCCATGCCGTCCCTAGCTTCTCCAAGCGAACCGACCAGCAGGCCGCGGAGGAGCTCGAGTAGCTGGCTGCTGCAGGTGGCACGCACGCACGCACGCACGCAGGTATCGTCTGGTCTCTCGGTGGCGGGCGAGCGAGGACGAGGAGCGAGCGGCGGAACAAACGAGTGCGCGCTGCAGGCGGTTTTATCGGCGCGCGCGCCAGGGGCGGGGCGGTCGCGTCAAAGCGCGTGGCCGGCCGGTCACGCACGGCCACATAACGGAGGGCCGGGGAGGATCAGGAGTTGAGGAGCGTGCGCGCGCGGCCCCGGACCCGGAGGCTTTTTGGCTCGGGAGCACCGGAGGAACCGGGCGTTTTTTTTTTTTTAGCGCTAGCGCCCCTGCGCCCGTTGTGGGCTCGGCAGTGGACCACGTACGGGGTCGGTTGGTCGTCGGCTGGCCTGGAGCCTGGGCGACCACGTACGCGACGCGAGCTATGCTATTGTGATTGTTTGCGAGTGCTCGGCCGGCAGGCACACGGGGGTCCCAACTGGTCTTCCTTAGCGATAATTGTTAGGGAGTGTTGGGTCCCATCGGATATCTGATATACGTAAGCATTATTAAATATAGACTAATTACGAAACTAATTACATAGTTTGCAACTAATTTGTGAGATGAATCTTTTAAGCTTAATTAGTCTATGATTTGATAATGTGGTGGTACAGTAAACATGTGCTAATAACGGATTAATTAGGCTTAATAAATTCATCTTGTGGATTACTGACAGATTCTGTAATTTATTTTTTTATTATTATCCGAACACTTCATGCGACAATCTCACGTGACACCTCCTAAATTTTAGTCACTGGATCCAAACACCCGCTTAGCTTGTTGCAGCCTCGTGGGCAGCGGCAACCAGCTAGCTTAGTAGGACAAAAATAACAAGAAAATGGCGAGGGCACGCCAACGTCGACGAGGTAAATTAAAGAATTAAGTCCACTTTTGGCCCCTCGACTATTGCGTCGGTCTAATTTTAACCCACAACTATAAAACCATCTAGTACCGATACCTTAACTGTCAAAACCGTTCACTTTAGCACCTGGGTGGGGGCAAGGCTGTTTTGACCGACGTTGATCGGTTTTGACACGCAACCTCCATCTCAGTGACATGTGGGGCCCACGTGTCATCGACTCAATCCCTCCTTCTCCATCCTCACGGCCATGGCTCGCCAAGAATCGGCCAACTATCTGTCTTTCTGTCGTGTCGCGCGTCGTCTTCGCGTCACGCGCGTCGTCTTTACTCGAAGCCACCACCACCGCCACACTGCCGCCGCCACTTTCGCGTCTGTGTCACACGCAATTTGGCATTAGCGCCTCGGCCGAAACGGCATGTCCGCTCGAGGAGCGGCCCGTGAGCTCGTGGGTGGCGGCGACGACATGCCCGCCTTTATCGCGTCTCGGCGAGACGCGTCTGGTGGTGACGCCACCAGCCCCCCCATGAGCGAGCCCGGCAATGGTGCCCACCCACTACATGTACACCGACACCTTGGCGTGCTCGACATGGTGCCGCGGCTGGTCCACGTGCTCAGGGTCGGGTCCATTGGCGCGCAACAGGCTGCTAGGACCGCCGAGCCCTGGATCAATTCTGGCGAAGGGAGCTCTGTGTTTTTGCTCGTGTATGGCGACGGCGATGCAAAAAACGCCCGCAGCAGCCTTTACCTTGGATGAAACTCAGCGAGGCTAGGCCTGGGATGTAGAGAGGCTCAAGGTGAAGCTAAGGTTACTGACTAATTTGTGGATGGTGCGGTGGAGCTCACGAATTTTGGCCGACGGCGGTTGCTGCTCTACATAGAAGCGACTAACAGAGAGAGCAGGCAGGGAGAATGAGCGAGAGATGCAGGCACAACACGACACAGGCAGCAGAGACACACAGCGCGGTGGCAGCACTGCTCGGCACAGCATGGGTGCAACACCAACACGGCGACGACACAGCACCACGACGGGCCCGGGCCCGCCAAGAGGAGTGGAGGCCACCGCCTGCCGTCGCTCGCTCGCGTCGGACCCGCTTTGCCATGCGAGGTCAGTCAGCGCCCACACGTCGGAGGGAGGGAGCAGCACTTGCCTGCCTCGCGCGAGAGAGGAGAGAGGACGCGTCGTGGGAGTGGCCGTGAGGATGGAGAGGGAGGGGTTGAGTCGATGACGTGTGGGCCCCACATGTTACTGAGATGGAGGTTGTGTGTCAAAATCGTTCCACGTTGGACAAAATAGCCTCAATCACGCCCATGTGCTAAAATCGAACGGTTTTAACAGTTAGGGCATCGGTACTAGACGGTTTTATAGTTAAGGGTTAAAATTAGACCGACACATTAGTTGAAGGGGCCTAAATGGACTTAATTCTAGATTAAAGGACCGAGTTGGATTTTTCGGTTGCTAGGTGACGTGACGCGATGGCCGCGATGGTGACTGCTGGGCGGTGCCCAATGTGAGTGATCCATCGCGACTGAGGCCCCGTTTAGATGTCTTCAAAACCCAAAAATTTTGCACAGTGATTACATTGAGAGACAAAAAAAAAGATTAAATGTAGACGATAAAAAACCAGCCGAACAGGGCCTAAAGGACCGAGTTGGATTTTTCGGTTGCTAGGTGACGTGACGCGATGGCCGCGATGGTGACTGCTGGGCGGTGCCCAATGTGAGTGATCCATCGCGCCTCATCAGATCGATGGATCCACGTCTGCGTGTGCGTCGTCGACGGTACGCCTCGGCCTCTAGCACGCGCGTTCAGGTACTTTTGTGCCCTGCACGGTAAAATTAAATAACCACGCACCACTCCCCTCGACCGGGAGAAACAGTAGCACGAGGAGAGGCCCAACGAGTCTCCACTCTCCACACGTGGTGGAATTAGTCCGTCCGTGTAAAAGAAAATAATATTCAACAGCATACTAGTAGTTCCGTTTTACAGTTCAAAAAAGTAGTAATATAAACCGCATGCTTTCTAGCATGCTCTCGTTCGCAAAATTTAATGCTTGTAGTAATATAGGGCCCGTTCGTTGTTTGGTGTTGGTGCTAGTTTGGGCTGGTTGGTGCTGATTTTTTATGAGAGAAAAACACTATTGATTGGCTGGCTGGTTTGGACTGACTGAAACCAACAAACGAATATGCCGATAAACCGCTAATATCACGTACTACGTAGTTGGATATAAAATCTAGGAGTTAAATGAACCATAGACCCTCAAATCTTTAAATGTGTGTGGTATAGTTCAATGTACTTTGAAAATGTATTTATGAGTCCTTAAACTTGTTAAGTAATAGACCTACCACGCCAGCATCTTTTGATGACCTGAGATACTAGTGTGGCATGTATTTTTTTCATTTGACCCTTCATCTCCCTTAGAAAATAGACCATGGGCAGCGACAAATGCAACTCCAGGAACCATACGAACTTCTGTAGCAGTTGCAGGGAAGAGAGGAGCAGAAAAGAGAGAAGGAGAAAGCAGGGTCTATTTTCAAAGGTAAAATAAAACAAGAGGGTTCAAATTCAAAATATACATGTGCCACTCTAGCATGCCATGTCACTTAACAATTTTAGAGGTCTAGAAATGCATTTTAAAAATTCGTGAATCTATATGACACACCTTCGAGAGCCATTGGTGTATTTAACTCCAAATCTAAGCTTACATGGGTTGTTGTTAACAGCTTGTTATCCTCTTAATAAAAAATGGGTTTGTGAAAAAAACATCAATATTTATGATATCAACCATGTTTTCTTCGCTGAATATATTTAAATATATCATACTGAGTAAACTTTAAATAATCTAACTAAGGAGAGCATTAGAATCGTGCTGTAACATTTTGAGGACGGAGACGGTAGTCAGTAGTCACCAGACCTCTCGCATCGCCGCTGACTGCCGAAGCTGACATAATCAGTCAGGATGCGTGGTGGAATTTTACCACGTCTCTCGAACGTTGACTGCCCAAGGCGACTCTGTGTGTGATCCGGAGCTTCCGCTGCGTGAACGGCGCTCCAGGGTCCAGACTCCAGTGCCTGCCCCCCGACGGCGTACACGCCGCTACGCGACGGGGAGCTCCACGTCGTGCGCCGTTGAGGGGAGGTGGAGCCCTCAATAGCTGCGCGCAATAAGAGGCCAGAACCTGCCCGGCGGATGCGCCCGTGGTGCTCGTTCCGTCGTTCGTTCGTGAACGCGGCGGGTTGCGGGCAGGACCACACACGCCGGTGGCGAGCTCTGAGCCTCTGACCCGTTCCAGGTCGCCGATGATGAGTAGTCGTCGCGAGAGATATTTCGCAAGTGTCAAGTCAATGGCGTACAGCTCTGACGGGGCCCGGGCCGCCAAAGTCGCCGCACGTACGCATCGGCATCGTCCTCTCGCTGTCCTTTTTTTCTTCTCAACGGAGCGGCGCTCGGTATCAACACTCTCCGTGCTTGCTTAATCCCTACCTCTCTCTACCTCTGGCGTGCGGATTACTACCTGATTGGGAAAGCCAATCACCGCCCGTAACCGTAACGGGGAGCTAGGGACTCGCCGCCTGCTCTGATGGCGAGGCCGGTCGGCAGGCTTACTTGTAGTTGTAGGGTGGTGCACAGGCGCCAAGAAAAAGAAATAAAATAAAATAAAACAAAGCATGATGTGCCACTGAATTTGACCTAGTGGCCACAACTGCCGCTCCTCTGTCCTAAAAAGAAATGTAAATCTCTGTCAAAAAGGAATATAAATCTGGCTTCACAAAGAGTTAAAGAATTTTAAGTTTAACTAAGTTTATAGAAGATATTATCTACGTTTGGATTTCCAATTAGGCTTGTTATAAAAATATATTTTATGATTAACCTAATAATACTTACTACGCATCCTAAACATCAATATTTTTTATATATTTGATCTAAATTAAGAATCTTTAACTTCTCGTGAAGCGAGATTTATATATTTTTTTAAACAGAGGGAGTATTGTACTTCGTGATCTGCGAATGCATTCGCTGCATTTGACCCAATTTTGACACCGGCAAAAACTTGTTGCAGAAACCGTACTTCGTGATCTGCGAATGCATTCGCTGCATTTGACCCAATTTTGACACCGGCAAAAACTTGTTGCAGAAACCGTCGGAAACACTGATGCTTGACTGCAGGCTGGCTTTTCCCGTGAGCTCGCAGCACTCTGTTCTCGCTACGCTAACTGCCCTAGCTTGTACTGAAACAGCAGCATCAGGTTCAGCCGCCGCAAGTTTAATAACGAGTACGACGCGCCAACTGCCAATGCATGGAGTTGCTCGTTTTAGAAAATTCTACTCAACGTGTTATAATATTCCAACTCCGCGGGGCCCCGCGGCAAATCGATGTACACAAGATTTATTTGATTGAGAATTTAACGTGGTATTTGCGACGAGACGCGTGTCGTGATCCATACTTTTAATATTCAGATTTTTTTTCTTGACTCAGTTTTATGATGATGGTCATAGAGATAGTGATAAGAGCACATTTTGGCCATTTCAACATGCTTTTCTGAATTATCTGTATATGCTATTGTCTCCATTCTTATTTCTAAAATAAATCGACTCCTAAAATCTCTCTATGTCACTATCCTTAATTTGACCAAATTTATAGTAAACACAACAAATAAATATATTTTAAAATATATTGGTCTTGTTTCTATAAATTTAGTTAAACTTAAAATAACTTTCTTAAAAGAATTATTTTACGAGGGAGCAGTCGTGCACACTTATCCGTTCCTTCGCCTGGCACGGGCCCAAACTCCAAACGATCATGCAGGACTTATACTGTTCGTTCTCTGGGCCACACACGCAAAGAGCCCACGGGGGCCCTTTTACTTTACTGGAGGAGGCTTTCTCCTGTGGCCTGTGGGCCTAGCTCTTAGCATGCCGAACAGGAGGATGAGTACGTGGACGCCATCCAGGAAGTGTCGCACGGCAGCGTGATATGCGACGCCGCCGCATAAAATTGTTTTCTAGCCACCATCGTCTTAAGCGGCTGCGCCGCAACTCGCAACAGCACATTTCGTCTTCTTCCATACGACACACCTCTCCAGACCGCAGGCAATTCAGATCCTTCGTCACATTTCATTTTTTTCATTTCTTACTGCAAATATAACTTCCCATTGGAGACAATTCAGACACCTAGAAGGTACTACTAGGTTTCCTTTCTAATTGTCGCCATCCTCTTCCGCTTCGTTGGAGTGTCTTCACTGCGATCCTGAATTTCAGGCAACTCCGAATGTTCTTGGCAGGCGAAATCTGAGGCTGCCAGCCAAAGCCAAGATGACGTTCTGGTCTCTGCTCGTCGTAGCATGGCTCCCAGTTCTGCAGGTCCTCCTCGTAGGATTGCTCGGAGCTCTTCTCGCGTCCAGCCGTCTCGACGTTCTCACGGCCGATGCTCGGAGGAATATCAATAAGGTAGTAACATTCAGTCGTTTTAATTAGTTGGATAATACTACGCTGAACGACTGAATGTGTGTGCTTCTCGCTGCCTTTTTACTGATTCGATCGCAGGTTGTTTACATCGTCTTCGTTCCGTCGCTCGTCTTCTCCAGCTTGTCGAGTACTGTCACACTCAAGGACATCGTTTCCTGGTTCGAGTTCGCCTGCATGGGCTTTCTCTCATTTACACGCTTCGATGAATGTTTTAGGATTTGATCAGTTGTTTCTGAACCTGAACTTAATGGTTTAAGGTGGTTCATGCCAGTGAACATGGGCATCGTGTTCCTGATCGGAGTAGTTCTAGGCTGGGTGTCTGTCAAGGCCTTCAGACCGGAAGAACATCTTCAGGGACTTGTCATTGCTTGCTGCTCATCAGGCAAGATGTGTATATAGACGTATAAGTCACAGGGAAAAGAAGTTTCTCTTGCGAGGATGTAGAGTTTCTTTTTCTTTCTTTTTTTGGTCATCACTGCTGCATGTGTTCAGATAAGGTTTATGTGTCATATTTTTCAGGTAACTGGGGAAACATTCCTCTAATGATTGTTCCAGCGATTTGCAATGAGGAGGGCAGCCCTTTTGGAGACGCCAGCACCTGCAACTCTCTTGGTCTCTCTTATGTGTCCTTGTCAATGGCGGTAAGATCATGTTCTACTTAGTACATCTTTCAATCAAAGACCAAGAAGGGTTTTAGTTTGGACTCAGAATGTTAGCTGTTCCTCACGCAGCTCGGGAATTTCTTTATATGGACGCACAGCTACAGTGTCATGAAGAGATCCGCTACACTGTACAAGGCAAAAAGGTCGTAAGAAACACGCTCTGACTGGCACGAGCAAAGAACACTTTGGACAGGATGCAGGTGGTGATTACGTCGCTTTTCTTCCTTCTGAAGATTTATCCGACGAAGATGGAAGCAACTCGGTGAGTGAAATATTTCATTGCCCTACTGTACTGAGATCAGCGGTGTACGAACTCTAGCTATCTTTTGGATGGATTTGGTCAGCAGGTTAGTTCTCCTCCCTTGCCTCCAAACGATCCTAGAGCTAGCTTCTTGAGTTACTACTTGAGAAGAGCACAAGAGTTGCTGCTAGAAATACTGAAAGAACTGTGTTCACCGCCAAGTGCAGCTGCGGTATGCCATATGCTTTTCTCTACCCTAGTAGTAGTATTACTACGATGCCATTACAGAAGGTGAGCAGTACAACTCAAAACTAACTGCTACTATCATCGTGTAATGTTATAATTGTGGTAGGTCGTAGGATTCAGTGTTGGTGCAACAGACAAGGTGAAATCACTTATTACTGAAGAAGGTTCTCCTCTCCGGGTAATCCAGGATTCTGCCAAATTATTAGGGTGAGTTTGATCGTCAGCACTACTTTTCGTACTCCCCATAGACATCTGTTACCGCAGATGACATGAAAACCTTTGGAGCAGGGGCGCTACAATTCCATGCACGGTGCTGATTCTCGGTGGAAATCTAACCAAAGGTACATCTCATCGCCATGGCCTCATGCAGTACCATGGCATCCACTGTTTCTGTTTCCAATGGTGGATTGCTGGGTGACCAGGTATAGGCAAGACGGTGACCAAGCCCATTGTGGTCATATCAATAATTGTCATACGTTTTGTTCTCCTCCCAACCTGCGGAATCGGCATCGTCACAGCAGCCACCAAGCTTGGGTTGCTACCGAATTCTCCCCTGTACCGCTACGTGCTCCTGCTGCAATCCACAGTTCCTCCAGCCATGAGCATTGGTAATGGGAATTCTATTGACGCAACATGTCAGCATCAGAGATGCGGATGCCCTTGTGTCTCTCAGGTGACCATTTCTTTCTCCATTGCATTGCAGGCACAATAGCTCAGCTGTTTGATGTGGGGGAAGAGGAGTGCTCTATCGTCTTCCTGTGGACGCACCTAGTTGCTGCCCTTGCTCTCACGCTTTGGTCGACGGTGTTCATGTCACTCGTACTGTGACCTACCAGTACTCAATCTAGCTGAATGGGAGAGATGATATATAGCATAGACAAACGAGGAACTTGAAATGTATCAGCGCCATTTTAAGTAATGGTAAACATTAGCAAGATTTGGCCATGTAAAATAATGTTTTCTTTCCATATAAATGAATGTTGCGTAAAATAACAACCCTGTCACATTAGCATACAACAGCTCTTTCACACTAACAGAATATAGTGCTATGTATTTTCTCCGCTCTGAGTAGCATTCAGAAACTAAGTTACCATCTATAGAGAAAAACTATCTGATACTACAGATCCTGACCATGTGGTTAGTGTTACAAATCGAAAATCACACCAATGTCGGATTAAAGAATGGGCTGTGTAAGAGGCTGGGAAAACACTGATGTTACAGTTCAGCTGTACATTTCTCATATGAGGGTGAGTTGCAGCTTTGGGCGATGAGGCTGAGGTTCTACTACTTCCATATGAATCCTAACTGTCTGGAGGACAGCATAGCTGATGTTTGTTCCGGGCTTGGTTACTCTCTGGTGCACCTCGTCAACTACCCAATCACCACCTTTGCCTCCCTTCGGAGTTAGGTAGATGGGCCCTTCTATGCCGAACCTGATTAGAGAAAGGAGTAAAAACAACGAATCCATAACATTAAGTTCACAAAGAAATTTGGAAGGGACAGAACCGTACTTTGGGACAAAGACTATGAAACCATTTGCCTTGATCTTTACTATCCTAGCTTCAGTGTCAGTTGGCCTGCATGGTTAAGAGTTAGGCAGTCAGAAAACAATGTACACAGTCCTGAAGGCCTGAACAGACTTGATGTCGTTACTTTTTGCCACCATCCTTATCACATTTCAATATTATCTACTTCTAACCTACCACACACTTATGTCATCTACAATCAAGATATGTACCTTGTCTTGAAATATATGTGGGTGTGGAGTTCCACTGATGCTCTGCTTGCCATCTGGGCATTTCGATGTCTGTAATTCAGGTCTGGCACAATAACAGTATCAGTAACAAACAGCGACACTTATATAAAATAAATGCTCAAGTATTGGATTTGATTTCTCATTTCTTACTGTCTGCGATTCCTGTAAGTTGTGGACCATCCTGAAAGATTGGTGGGAGCTTTGCAATACCTAGGGCTGCAGCTAGCAGTCTATGAACAACAACATCTGCAACAAAAGGATGTAGAATCAAGATCATCCTCACAATTTAATATGTGCTGCAACACTTCTACAGGCTACATTTCTTTCAGAAACTTCTACAGGCTACGACACCCCATGTCATACACGTGCCAAAGGTCAATGGATCCGGATTCGCAATCCCAAGGTATTAATAGCAGGCTATTCATGCTATCAACTACAGGACCAAAGCTAACATGTCCCTTGCCATTAATTCCATTTCCTTACAGCACTCAAAAACACAAAGTAAGCTTACTGGCATGCATTATTGGTTTTATTCCAGGCATACACCAATAGCAACAAAGAATGATGTAACAATACATAAACTACACCAAATTGCTATTTTCTTTAAATATTATTCAACAACAACAACAAAGCCTTTAAGTCCCAAACAAGTTGGGGTAGGCTAGAGTTGAAACCCAGCAGAAGAAATCAAGGTTCAGGCACGTGAATAGCTGTCTTCCAAGCACTCCTATCTAAGGCTAAGTCTTTGGGTATATTCCATCCTTTCAAGTCTCCTTTTATTGCCTCTACCCAAGTCAACTTCGGTCTTCCTCTGCCTCTCTTCACGTTACTATCCTGGCTTAGGATTCCACTACGCACCGGTGCCTCTGGAGGTCTCCGTTGGATATGTCCAAACCATCTCAACCGGTGTTGGACAAGCTTTTCTTCAATTGGTGCTACCCCTAATCTATCACGTATATCATCGTTCCGAACTCGATCCCTTCTTGTATAAATGCAAATCCAACGCAACATACGCATTTCCGCGACACTTATCTGTTGAATAATATTATTATTGAGTATTTGTACTGCAAGATCCAGCATGTCATCCCTGGGATTATTATGGAAGTAAAAAAAAATCTCGTCAAAGGGAAAAGGACTATCACTATCATCAATGGCAAACATCACTGTCTTCATAGTCAGCTAATGTGTAGAAAATCACAGTAACCTTTTTCCAACAGTTTCACTCATGCTACGCACAGGCAACAAAAAGAAAGGTTAAGGTTCAGACCCATATAATCATCCTAAAAGGCTAATTAGCTAGAAAGGCCAGGCAAAGAAAATAACCAACAGGCCTTGAATGGCATCAGATTCCCAATTACATTCAACCCATCAAAGAGATTATTTTCATGCATCAGAGCATCTAAGGATGGAAAACAAACCTGCATATCTGCGAATGGGAGAAGTGAAATGAGTGTAAAGAGAAGTTGCAAGCCCGTAATGGTAATACTCAGAAAAGGTCAAATCTCCACTGCAGAAATAAACTGCCTGTGTTGCGACAGGGAAAGTTATATGGATTCTTTGAAATCAGTAAATTAGAATGAGGACTTCATTTCCTAATCTTACCTGTGTCATGCATCTAGTCGCCAAAATTCTAATAAGCTTGTTGAAGTATGGGTCATTGCTCTGCATGTCATGTAGTAATAAAGGGTCAGCATAAGAGTCTATTATCATATATAATGATATTAATGAAGCATCCAAAGAGTAAAATAATACATAATGGTCCCACCTTTGCGTTGTCAAGTGATTCAGCTAATGCCTTTGAGGATGATACATCCAGATTGAGGCCAACAGAAGAGGCGGTACGGAGTAATGGCTCAAGCATCTCTTTTGTTGGGCTAGGATGGCGCCTGTTACCAACAAAATGAAAATTTGCAGGCTTAAAAAAGATCAAGAAGTAAAAATGGTAATGTTCAATGAGAACACAGCTATTAAAGATTGATTTGCATGATAACAGACATCAACAGATTAGCAGAAGCAGCATGCAGACAAACAGTGTGAAACAGCCAACAATCGACAAACTTTTCAATTTAGAAACACACAATTGCATGATGTTGAATACACTTTTTAGACCGGAATGATGATATTACATTGATGTGTTCTCAGGTAGTACCTTCTAGCCTAGTCACAAATGAACTTTTGAACTGGTGGTTTTAGCTTTTAAGAAAGAAGAACGGTACACAAACTTGAATTGGTTTACGTGATTGCCAAAATATCGGTATTGGTACTGAGTGCCGAAGTGATCATATTTATGCAATATGTTTAGAAGCAGCACGATAATTTTACAGCTCGTTTCAGTGTGTAACAAGACTCTTCAGAGATATACAGCCTTAAGGTCTGTTGTGACAGTGATGATAATTTTGGAATTCTACCTCATGTTTAGACCAACTTGTGATATTAAGTATAGTATGGTTACATATAACTTTAAAGGGTTGAAAAGAAAGGTCACAGATAAGAAGTTGGCAAATGGCAGATCCTCACTGACTCTATTCATTTTAATGGACACTGTGGTTCCATGGGCTTTTCCAATATCTTTGGATGTGCACAACTTCAACCTGATCTAGAATGTGACAAGATAAAAAATTGAACAATATGTACCTTAGCAATGAACATAAGGGGAAGTGCTTCAAAATCTTCTCAGCAACAGAAACATTCGCAGCCAACATAAACTCTTCAATCATTTGATTTGCCTCGCGGATTTGATAAATTCCTATTGAATTTGATGTAACTATGTAAGTACTTTATGGCGAATTCTGAAATATAACACCGATAAGCATTCCAGAACCTCATACCTATGTCAAGAGGATCATGAGTTTCACTATCAATCTCAAATTTTACTTCTGCAGAAGCAAGAGTCAGAGCCCCTCTTTCACAACGTCGTTGTCGCATGATCTGCATAAGCAATCAGAGCATGAATATATAAGGTGATGTTGGCATTAAATACTAGATGGTAGCAGACATACACCCATTACAGTGTGATAAGAGTGAAACACGATAGCTGACCTTTGCCAATGAATTTAAGTTCCGCAAGTCTACAGTAAGTGGATCAACTAAACGGCTGAAAAATAAACAAAAGAAAGTAATCAAGTTCACTGGTGCATTTTTGGCTAATTAGACCAACTTAAAGTTTGACTTAAATGTATAGTAATGTTCTGAGAAGATGCAATGCAGAAGGCACCTGTCATCCATTCTTGCCTGGGCTTCGACATAAGACATTGCAGCACAAGATTTGATAACACTCTTTGTATATCTTGTGGATATGACATCAGCATCAGGAGTCATTTCCTGGAAACATAATGTTCCAAATACCAAACGTCATAAAAATAATACTCTCCTCATATAGCAGAACAATACTGTGGGGAAAGCCATAAAAGGTGATGTTATTAATAAATAATGGTTCAGAACAGCAGACATGGGGCAGCAAGCGCAACAAGTAATATCATGTCGCAAAACCAAAAGGTCAAAGCACCATTTTTGCAAGCAGTATTGTTCTGCTATGAGGGGAAACCATGTGGTGGTCAGTATAATATGGAATACCAGGGGAGGATCCAAGATCAAGCTAGGCCCCGGGCCGAGAATCCCCGAGATACACATGGAATTGCTACAAATAGACTCCTAGAGCCTAATCCTTCATTGTTTAGGTGATTTACCATGATTTGCTTGGCCAAGGACCCGAGCTGCAGCACAGCCAGCCTTGGGCCTGTGTCCTCCACTATGGATTACCTGAGTTCATTCATAGTTCTAGGAGGAGGGCACTGTGGACTTGCCCCATATGCAAACATATATAGATAACAGTTGAAAATCAAAATATCCTATGCAACACATATCTAACTTGTGCTAATCAAAATAACAAGTTGTCATGAAATAGACTTACCCAGATGACAGAGAATGCCAACCTTTCAACATCAGCACGAAGTGAACAAACATCTGGAAACCAAAATAAGAGAGATCGCTAGTCAATCCAGATACTACAAACTGGCAGTCTTTTCTTCAAATACAACAGCAACATTTAATTTCAGATTTTAGTTAATTCAATAATCGATATGCATGCCACATAAGAAGCATCAGCACCTTCAGTCAGGGGCTTCGGAAGCATATCAATCCGCTGCCCAACAAGATAAACAGAAGTGCCCCTCTGCGCAGCTTCCTCATCAAGAGGGGTACCAGGGTGAACAAAATTAGTGACATCAGCGATATCTGGTCAGCTCAAGTCAAGAAATGCAGTCTGTGTATCCGTAACACAGAGTGAATGACCATGATAAATCGCATATCCAGGACAGAGAGGTTGTGACCGAGGCGAAGTAAATTGGTTGAATATAACAAATTTCAAGAACCAAAGGTACAACATAGATAATCACATATTTGCAAGTCTGTTTGGACCCACTTTTAATATGTCAATTTAATTCATTTTTATGTCATTATACGTTTTATGTCCTGGAAGATGGGCATTCCAATTGAAAACCAGTAGTGCCCACTGCCCAATCAGATGAGGCAAAATGATTTTATGCCACATGTAGAAAATGGATTTTATCAAGAAAAAGGATTTCTAAACAGAGTCTACACCAAGTAGAGACCATGAGTTAACTTAAAACCTCCTGCATAACACTTCTTTTCCAATATGACACAGACTTGTGCAGATGTGTATATGCTGCATGTTTAGGAGAATACAATTGCATTATTGGAATAATAACCAATTCCATTTAATACTAGACAATCAACTCCCAGCCAGGTAGAATGGTAGATGCTAAAGAGCCTAGTCACAATTTGCAAAATGAACTACCATCAACTAAAACAAAGTTAAGTAGGTAAATATTAACTCAGAGATCACCAAGGAAGAAAAGTTGCTCATAAATTTGAACTAAACAGAAGAATTTACAGGAGAAATTGTTTAAGGATACGGACTCCAACTTCAAAATTCCCATTTGGAAGTAGCGTGCAATGTAGTGCATCATCAATGTCTCGACAACCTATAAAGCAGCTGAAGCATAAGGGCTTGGCCCAGATACATAAAATAGCAATAGATTGCAGGTATCCTGATTAAATTACCTGGTGGGTCCACACTAAAGACTCTCACTTGGCGCAAGTCTTGTCTATTAGGATTAGCCAGATCCTCTGGTGATAATGTCCAAGGTAAAGGTGGCAAACAAGCAAGGACTTGAGTAGAGAAAGGCCTGGTGTTGATATCATTCTCTATTAAGACAACCTGCTTCATGCATAAACACCATTAACATGTACCATCAAGAATATGCCCTTACATGCAAGTATTTTTAAAATGCACTTGATGCAACTCCAAATTTAGGTACACTTGCCTCTGTTTCAGTTTCTTTGTCACCAATATCTCCAATGGTGCGAACATAGTGTCCTGATGGATATCGAGACAAAAAATCCCATGAATCAACCGCAACAACAATTCTTTTGTTCACGAGATTCTCAAGCTGCCTGGTTTGAATTCGGATCTTAGGAACTCTTCGATCTTTTGAAACAAATAAAGCATGAGCAACGCCCCCACTACCAGCAGGCATAGGCATCGGCTCCAAGGACCCACAGTACCTGCAGAACACCAGCACTTTATCATATGATCCCGAGATCAGGAGTATACACATTAGAAATCTCACTCAGAACATATAGAAACTCACGAATTCCAATTTCGCTTGATTATACCAACAACACGTCCAACTGGACGACTAGAGACAGAAGGAGCTGACAATCCAACTGTTGATTGTGTGGAATTGGTGTTCCGAGGAGCATCATCAGCACTATTGGGGACCAGATGAACATCTTCTTCTTCTTCTGAAAAAACAGCAACATTCACCAAATAAGAAAATAAAATGAGATGTGTTTCATCTTGTTATTTCAGCGCTAAGAAAATACCATCATCATCTGCTATAAAAGACTTCGACTCATGCCATTGATCTTGTGGCAAGAGCTCAACAGCAACTATATCACCATCAAAGGCCCTGTTCATATTTGAGCGGCCACAGATAACAATCTCGTCGCCAATGCTCTCGCTCCCAACATAAGCTTCAAATGGATTGTAACGATTAACTCGAAGCTTCCCTTGATGATAGATTCCACACCGCAAACCAGTTGTAATTTCTGACATTGGTTTGTGCTGTAATAATACCAAGTAAACAGAGGAGTACATTTCACACAAGAGCATATATGTCAGCAACACAACAAAGCACTACTGTATAATTAGCATACCTCATTATAGATTACTTTCTTCTTGGATGGTCTATGGTCTTCTACATCTTCCATGGTAACATCTCCACTAGATGGAACAACCACCAAATCAAGCAAACCAGGCTGCGCAAGCGATCTTACATATGACTCAACTGGAACAAGAGATATTTTATTGAGGTTGTGGCTACCATAATATCATTTCACAGTATTAAAAAAACATTGAGCTATATATAAATCAGTTGCAGTATGCTATCCACCTGTCTCAGTGTTAAGGCCTTCTTCAATAGCTTTCCTTTTGTTATCTCTGTCATTTGTAATCAGTAGAACCTTCACGCTCTCACCAAGATGGCTTTGGTACCAACGAGCAGCAACACGAATTGCTGAATAAGAAAACAATCAGTGGCACAACTGTCCTATATATGATAGGAAATGAATGTGTGTGGAATCAGATAACCAGGTTAACAAAATCATTCCATACCTCTGTCATTACGATCATTAGAGCTCTCCCCAACCATGTCTTTGACATAAGTATCCCTGTTTTTTGAGTAAATGAGAAACATATAATGGCAAATGAAAGAGAAGGCTACCGTCAAGACGCAAGTCTTGATATAAACAGCTTACACAATTTACAGGGGTACACAACTAGAATCTGAAGTGCGTGCAATTAGATTTCAAAATTCCCCATTGACAGGTAATTGCATCATAAAAGGGACTGAGAACATTTTAAATGCCAACATAGATTGCTGTGATTGACCTAGTTCAGTAGAAAGTGGACTTTCATCGCCTTTTTTATCATGCAGTTCATCCACTATATCACTTCGAAAGATGCAATGCCAGGAAGAGTCTAGGCTTGTAAGAGATTGACACGCACATTGACAATTTTCCATTATGAAAGATGTAGCCCTCTCAGACCATGGGCATCTACTGATACCTGTGATATTGCTTCGAAAGATGCAATGACAATTTTATATGCAGTACATCCACTTTGATATCGCTTCTAAAGATGCAATGTCAGGAAGAGCCTAGGTTTGTAAGAGACTGATGCACACATTGACAATTTTGCATTATGAAAGCTTAGCCCTCTCAGACCATGGGCATCTACCAAAAGCTATTAATTCTTCCCGTGAAACTATTTGATATGTAATGGTGCAGTTATGGCGCTTGCATAAAGACATTTCAAATGGGGTCCAATACTCAGGCTGCATGTTAAATGAGTGTGTGGCTTCAAGCAAACATCATTTGAACAAATTTTTTAAAAAGATAGCATCAATTTCACCTAATGTACATAAATCCTCAAAGCTAACTCTAAAAAGAATTGACCACAGTATCATATGTCACAAGTGATCTTGGGTTAACCCTTAAGTTTTCCTCTATTTTTCCAATGCTAACAACTCCAATACTAGCAGCTTTATCAGCAATATCAATTGACTACAAAATTGAACCTGGAACCTTTTGGTTCAAATAGGAAGAGAGCAATGCAAAGTGAATCAAAACTACAAATTATGATATCGTGGTAGAACACGAGCCCACCTATGCTGCTCGTTGGCGAAAACATAGAACCTCCGTGCTTTGTTGGTACACAGTGCCTTGATCCTGTTGAAAACCGAAAGGTTCTTATTCTTCACCTCGTCCAGCACCACTGACAGCAGGACGACATCCTCAATCGCGGGATTCTCCAGCAAATCGATCTGCCGCAATATCTCAACTCATCATCCCAGCGCACCCTCAACCCTAGGCCAAGCTAAGCGGGAGACAGATGAACGTTTCCGTTACCTGGTGCAGCACGACGTTGGTGTCGACGACGAGGATGGCGGCAGCGGCGGCGGCGAGTTTGCGCTCCGCGGCGGCATCGCAGGAGGAGCAGGGGACGAAGCCGCAGTAGACGTCGTCGCGGAGGTAGTGCTCCCTGACGACCTGCGGAGAGGTGACGACGGCGTCAGGTAGGGTTTGGAGCAGGAGGGGCAGCTCGAGAGTCGAGAGATGGTGGCGTTTGCCCGAGCACTGACCTTTTGGATGCGGCCTTGCTTCGTCTTCTTCACGAATGACTTGCTCTGCAGCATGGTGGTGAGTTAAACAGCGTGCCGCGAGGCGGCGGCGGCGAGGAGCGCGGAGGAGACGTGTACCAGCCGGCGGCAAGGGGGCAACGGGGTTTAGTTTGGTTCGGTGCGTGCGTGTTGGGGTCGGTTGAGCTAGCCTGAGTGCCTGACTGAGGTCTGGGTGTGGGTGGGTTCGACCGCGTCCGGGAAGGCATCGGTTGGACACGTGAGACGTGAGTCGTGACTGGAGCCCCAGAGGCCACCTCGGAACCATCAAACTAGAGGCCATCGGCACGGCGCCACGGCCCACGGCAGAACACCACATTTTCAGTCGACTCTCACCTTATTAGACGCATACATTCACTTTATTGGGAAAACTGTAGTTACTGCTGAAAATTAGTTAGCTGAAATATGAACACCCGTGTAAATTGGAGATTCAAATCTAGATAAGCTGCAATTTCCACCACAAAGAATAATAAATTACGCCACGCCAGTTCGTATCTTTGTGGTTATTTTAGTTCTTATATAACAACATATAATTATTACAATGTCTATTATAGCAGTGAGCATCAAAAAAATGGATTTATAATTACATTAATTTTAAGTTGCAACATAAATGCATATTATAGAGGTTATGAGATAAAGTTAGTGTAAATAAATACACATAATGCTCTATGGTTAACACTACACAACAAAGAAAAAGCATAATAAGACATTATGCCTACTATATGTCGATCTTTAGAACATCTCCACCAAATATCATATTCTAGCATTTTAGGAGAGAAATATGTTGCATTAAGATCTTCTAAACACAACCTCTCTCTCCTAAGTAGAGGAGAGACCATCTTTCCATGTCCGTAAATAAAGAGCTACCCCACCGGATCTATTATACTACATCTTCTACGAGTTATTATAGAAGAGTACCATAAAACTATTTCAACATATAGAAGAGGTGTGCCCCTGATTTTTCATCCTATTGTGTTCATTGCTTTAGCAATCCTTTCCTAAATTCAACCTTTCTCCACTCATTTTTTAACACTACTTATACTTTTCCCCTAGTAAAGGAGGCTTCATTAACTAGATAGAGGTTAGTCTTGTTTATATGAGATAAAAAAAAATGAACATCGGCACCTATCTCGACCACACTTTTGGATGTGTTGTCCATACAGAATGAATCTCTTTCGCAATTGAACACATGTAGTTGAGTCACTAATAGGTGGAGACCCACCAGCTAGTGACTTCACAGCTGAGGAATTGGTTATATTTTTTTTTGGAATGTAGGAATTGGTTGTATTCTAAAATGTGCTAAGCAGAACGCAGGACTGGTGTTGCAATCTCACACTATCACACTGACATCCGCTCGAACGTTGTTACTAGAAAAAAACACCCACATTCACCTTGACCTAGCCCTTTTGTAGAAGTTCCCATCCCACTACTAGAATTTCTTTCACACTACGTAGGTGTGTAAGAGTTAAGAAGTACGTTTGTTCAGTACACTTTGCATGATCGCTTTGACCTTAAGAAAAAAAATCCTTTGCTAAACTTGTAGCATAAACTCTTGTAAGTTTAGAAGATACATAGTCTGAGATGCTTAGTTGGCCAGAATTATGGGTGAGGTTATTGTGGACTGTCCAGGCTCTCGAGAACACTAATATGATTAAGTCTGATTGCTTTTGTGTGCACAATTACCTTAGCCACCAACATCATAACAGAAGAAATGGTGTATGTAGTGCTTCTCCTCTCCTCCTAATTCCAATTTATCAATTTATTGTAACTTCAAAGTGTTACAACGATGAGAAATGAAAACGAGGTTTCTTTTTTTAATGATTAGGCATGAGTGAAAGTGCATTTGCCCCCTATGTGGGTTTTGGTGTATTGATGACATCCAAATTAGGGACTAATATGATCTTAATGAGATATGTCGCAGCTATTAGTCCCGTGAAAGAATCAAAGAGTTGATAAAGATGAAATGGTATCCCTCAATTCTTAAAGTTGAAAAGGTGGACGAACTCAAAGCGCTCTTCAAAGGTTTTTTTTTGAGTTTAGGATCCGCCGCACTATAAAGAGGGATGCAATTTTAGTTGGTCTGAGGAAGATAGAGTGCTCAAGCATAATAATTAAATAAAAAAGGAGACACTCTAGCACTTCACGAGCACATAGAATAATTTTCTATGACTGTCGATGTCGGAAGTCCCGACGTAAACCGGAACTCCCGACAGTCGGAAGTCATGACCCTTGCCGGAAGTGCTGACTCCCAGTTACTTAGCCTGCGCGATGACTATGGACGTCGAAAGTCCCGACGTGAGTTGGAACACCCGACAGTCGGATGTCCCGACCCAAGCCGGGAGTCCCAGCATCGATGGTTCTGCTGACCTGTTGTCTATGCCCGTCGAAAGTCCCGACGTTCGTCGAAAGTTCCGACCGTCGAAAGTCCCAACCCTTGTCGGGAGTTCCAATACTCGTTGCGGGCTGGCTGAATGTTTAACTGCGCTCGTCGAAAGTCCCGACGTTTGCCGAGAGTTCCGACACTGACCTGCACGCGCAGACTTCTGGCCCTATGTGAACAGTTTTTTCTGTTAACGTCGGAAGTCCCAAGATCTGCGTCGGAACTTCCGATGTAGATCTGAACGGTTAGATTTTCACTTGGAGTATAAATACTCCTCTCTTCACTTCTAACCGTTACGCACTCATTAATAGCTGACCCACTTCGTGCTCAACAGCTCCCAAGCAACTAAAGCACCCCTCTCCTCCCCCTTTGCTCCAATCTTCGATTCCCTTAGGGTTTTGAGTAAAAGGAGAGTGGATTAAGTGAGAGCATCACTTTGGAAAGCTTGAGCACTTGATTTCTTCGTCAAGCCGGTTGATTTTATGTCTATTACTCTTGGGGCTTTGCCCCTAGCCGGCTAGGCGTTGCCCAAGAGCTTCCATCTTGTGGAAGAGCCTTGGGAAGTTTGTATCACCCTTCTATTTCTTAGTGGAAAGCTCAAGTGACCTTTGTGGTCGCTTTGAGAGAGGTAAGGAGGTGGAATAGACTCCGACCTTGGTGGTCACCTCAACAACGAGGACGTAGGAGCTCCTTTGTGGGGTTGCCGAACCTCGGGATAAATCGTTGTATCCTGCGTGCTTGTTGTTGTTGTTGTGATTGCTTGAGATTATTTGTATGTGTGTGTCTCTTTGTCTCCCAAATCTCCATTTTAGGGTTTGGACTCGATCTACGGTTTGGAGGCTTTACGACGTCAAGAAAGTGACCCAACATCTTCACCAAACCAATAGGAAGTGAGGTTGTAAGATTATTTATCCGCAAAGTTGAATTTGGTACTGCTTTTGTAGTTCGCGTAGGCGTCGGAACTGCTGACGTTTGCGCCGGAACTTCTGACAACGTCGGGAGTTCCGACCCAAACGCCGGGACTTCCGACAGTGACTGACAGATTTGAACTTAGCATCTGCAGTAAATTTTGAGATACGCCTATTCACCCCCCTCTAGGCATTGTTAGATCCTTTCAATGAGACGATGTCTATTTCATTGATAAAGAAGAGATTTTATAAGCCAAAAAGTCGGGAAAGCAACACAAGGCGTTATCATCACGCTATTAGGGCCGCTATGTTTTTTGCACCTGTTGTCACCCACTTTCGGGTCTCATCCTTGTTTTCGCTTTCAAATCAATCATTATTGCCCTTTAGGTTGTATCACTCCCACATTCCTTTCTTTCTACAACTCTCATGTAACGAACAAAGACTGTTGATGGATTTTCATGGAGCAAACCTTGTGGAGATGAGGTTTGTCCACCATTCATGCACCCCTGTGTAAGGCTACCATTTTGATGGCTAGAGTTTTAGTTAGGCAAGCCAGGTCTCAATAAGGCTCCACATCCTCTTCGTGTACTAGCGTTCAATAAGTAGGTGACAATCCAATAAGACTATATATAAGTCATCAAGGCACCCATCAATCAAGGAAGGCATTGGCTACAATAGGTATGATGGAAAGGCTAATGGAAGGAACATGATCAATGGTGTGTCTTGTGTGAAGTTTAACAAGGGCGTTGCTCTTGATGAGCTAATATGCAAGGCCAACAATAAGGTCTACATTCCAAAGATCCAACCTACAAGTAACAAGACAATCAAGACGAAGCAATCCGATGTCCCAAAGCCATAAGCACCACTTCTACGGTGCTATGCTAGTGACTATATGTGTTGTTGGGGCAAGGATGGCAAGATTGTGGTTAAATATGTTGGTGCCCAAAAGAGAAAGGAAATTATGAGGAGTGTTTGGGTGCCCAAGTTTTATGTGACTAACCCCCTAGGACCCAAATCTTTTTGGGTACCTAAAACAAAAGCTTAATTTGTCTTTGTAGGAATATTCCTCCGGTGGAACAAGTTGGGTGTTGGATAGTGGATGCACCAATCATATGACCGGAGAGAAAGACATATTCACATCATTCCAACCAAGTCATGATCAAAGTGGAAATATTGTGTTTGGTGACAATGGAAAAGGTGAACTCATCGGTTTGGATAAAATTGCTATATCAAATGATAATTCCATCTCAAATGTTTTACTTGTGAATTCATTGAGATACAATTTGTTGTCCGTCTCACAACTTTATGAAATGGGTTACAATTGTCTCTTTATGGATAAGGGTGTGGAAGTCTTTAGAATAGAGGATTCCTCTATTGCATTTACGGGTCATTTAAAAGGGAAACTCTATCTAGTTGATTTCATATCAAATAGAGTAAATCCCGAGACTTGTTTAATGGCAAAATCTAGCATGGGTTGATTATGGCATCGCCGACTTACCCATGTTGGGATGAGGAACTTGGCCAAACTTCAAAAAGACGAACACATCCTTGGACTAACTAATGTTTTTTTGAGAAAGATAGGATTTGTAGCGCATGCCAAGCGGGAAAACAAGTTGGAGCTAAACATCCCGTCAAGAATGTTGTGACAACCGAAAGGTCATTGGAGTTGCTTCACATGGACATATTTGGACCCGTCGCTTATATAAGCATTGGTGGTAACAAATATAGTT